CGGCGGCGCAGCGCGCACCACGAGGCGCTCGCGACCCGCGCCTGCGAGCTCGCCGTCGCCGCGGCGACCGGCCTGCTGCCGCCCGGCCTGCTCGCCGCCCCCTCCCCGCCGGCGCCGGGAGCGCCGGCGCGCGCACGAGACGCGCTGCGGGACGCGCTGCGGCTCTACCCCCACAACGCACGCCTGGCGGCGTTGCTGTCTGAGCTCGAGTCGTCGAGCCTGACCCTCACGCGGCTGCGGCGCGAGCTCCAGGCGCTGCGCGAACGCGCGCCCTCGCCCGCGCTGTGGCTGGCCGCGCTGCGCGCAGAGGCGGTGCGGCCGGCGGGGCGCGTGCGGCTGAGGGCGATGCTCGAGCTTGCGCTCGCCGGCGGGCGCGTCGCGGAGCCGCCGCGCGCTCTGCCGGCGCCGCCGCCGCCGCCGCCGCGGCAAGAAAAGGGCGCCCCCGGCGGCGGCGGCGGCGCCTCAGACGACGATGACGAGGAGTCTCCAGCCAGCCTCGCGTTATGGGACGCTACGCCGGCGGCCTGCGCCGCCTGCCCCGCCCTGTGGCGCCTGCACATTGCCTGGGAGCTGTCCCAGGGCCGCGCGGAAGCCGCGCGGAAGCTGCTGCTCCGCGGCGCCCACGAGTGCCCGGGTGCCAAGGCGCTGTGGCTGGGCGGCCTGCGCGCGCTGTGCGGCGGCATGGCGGCGCGGGAGCTGTCGGGGCTCATGGGCGCCATGCAGGAGCGGTTGATGCTCCGGACGGAAGTCCTGGAGGTGATGCTCGCCGCCTTGGACTCCGAGGGGATCGCCCACGAGGTTGCCGCGGCGGGCGCCCCGGAAATGTAATGAGCGGGCCTCTCGTGTGACGGTCGCACGCGGGCTGCACGCGTTTTACATGCTGTCTGCGGCCTAGCCCGGGGCCATCGGCCGGTGCACTGAGAGGTGTGAGCACGGGCGCGTGGATGTTTGCAAAGTGGGGTGGGCCCGACTCGTCGAAGCAAGTGGCCGGCACTGGATGCGGCGGCGTCAGGGGCTTTGCCAGGACAGGAGACACCAACTGCTGTGCAACAACATTCTCGCCGGCGCTACAAGCCAGCAGCAGCAGCAGTCATGGCAGCTGCGGCGGCATTGACGAGGGTGCGACGCCGCTATGGTGGCTGTGAATTGGGACAAAGGATGTGGTGGGTGGGCCAAACAACAGGGGCCATGTCGCACTGTGCTGGGCAGGCCATGACTCCGAAAGGCGAAGCGAAAGGCGCAAGGGGGCCAGAGTGACAAGCAGGCGCACAAAATTTCTGTGGCCCCAGCCCAGCATCGCCAACGTGTCCCCAACAAGGGTTTTTGATGTTCCGGAGGTCATAGTGCGTCCAAGGTAGGACCGCCCATGTCCCGGTGCTGACGTACGTAGGACGTGGTCATCAGAGCTATGCACAACTATGAGCGGTGTTGGTCAGCCGGTAGGTCGCGAGCCCAACTGATCATTTGTCGATGCATCATGCCCTATGCGATGGTAGCCAACCTCCAAGCATGCAATGCCCATCAGAGTGCTCACATTGGGGTGAGGTCGACATAATCCTATCGGCACAGGCGACCTAGGCAGCGCGCCTGACTCCAGGCCCCTGATTTCCAGGCCCCTGGCTTCAACCAGATTCACTCCGTCCCGCACCCCTGGCGCAGCGGCCGCCTGCTCCCTGCTTCACGGACCGCTGCTTCAAGTATTCAGGTTGCAGTGCATACGTCTTGAGTAATGGCACGCGTTCTCCTTGGATGGCCATGCGCGTCGTGCGCCCCAGCCGTGACACCTCACGTGGGCGGCTCTGTGCTCTGGCCAGGCGCAGGCACGGCGTGCGGGACGGCCTCATCTTGAGACCTGCTACGGTGTAGACGCTGCAACATACACTATGCCAACATGCTTAATGAAACTATTTACTGTTTGCTATGCTGGCATGACGACGCCTGCGCGCGCAGCCAGGATCACGACTGCATTTCTCACGTGTCGTCACATGACTGACAGCATGCATTGACCGCTGCACCTGACGCTGCTGGTGCGGCGTCAAGGTTGTGCAGCATGTGATAAAAGGTCGTTGGTGACTGGGTGTGTCCTGCAATCGGGACGCTCGGCTGCGGGAGCAGACACACAGGTGGTCACACAATTCTGCATCAAGGGCACCAAGGCTGCTTCGCGTCCCAACAGTATGCAAGTGTAGGTACGGATGTCAATTCGAACAATTGAACCGCTTTCCCCTAATCACGAAGTTGCGCTCGTGATCACCGGTCTTGAGGTCTGGCACTGCCAGCAGCATCACGGGTCCCCGCTCGGCGGGGTCATTATTTATAGCTCATAACAGCCCATGCTACCTAAGTAGCGGCATGGCGCGTTTGATACTGGTGGCGGTTCTGCTGTGGGCCACCAGCTGGACGGCCCGCGGTGAGCAGGGGGAGCCACACACACCCGAAGGAATTCCACCCCTCGCGGGTAGCTCCGCCCATGAACTTCGTTTGTATATGATTCGCGGCCGTGGGTTCGCTCGGCGCTGGAGACGCCTGCCCTGGTGACGCTGTGTGCCACGCAGAAGGCAGGACAACGCGCTCACGCGCGCGCGCGCCTCAGCACACCACCGCGAGCGGTTGGCTGCAACCGCTCGATCAAAGCGCCCGCCGCGCACCCCGCCGCGCCGCGCCCCATGCGCCACCCCCGCGGCCCCCCTTTCCCCGCCGAGCAGCCCAAGGTCTGCTCGTCTCCAAAAGCGCCGCCTCCCTCGGCGCGTCCGGCACCATTTTGACCCTCGCCGCGCTGTACGAAAAGTCAGAGGCCTGGAAGTCCGCCTTCCGCCGCAGCCCCGCCTCGGCCTGCTCACAGAACGGCCAGACGCTGTGCTCCGCGGGCTCGTCCCAGGATGCGGCCGCGTACGGCCAGCTGGTCGTGGCGACGAGCCCGCTGACCTACAGCTCAGCCAGCCCGTCCGACACCGGCGGCCTCGACCTGATCCCCTCCGCTCGCGACCAGCGCCCCTGCGCCGCCTGCACCGGCTTCGCGGTCGCGTCCGCGGCGCAGGCCGCGATCGCGGCGGCCGCGCGCGTCAACGCGTCGGCGGTCGAGCCGCTGTCGCCGTCGGACCTGCTGTACTGCTCCCCTGGGGCCCCCACGTCGTGCTCTGCGGGGTGGACCCTAATCGACGTCCTGAAGCAGCTGACCGAGCGCCGCATCGCGCCGGAGGCGTGCCAGCCCTACGACGTGAGCCGCGGCAAAGGGCAGCTCTTGGCAAATAGCGGCGCCGGGCTCTGGGGTGTTGCCTGCGTCGGCAGGGGCGGCGGGGTGCTCGGCTCTGGCTGGGGATCTTAGGCCTTCGCCTGGCTCCAGCATCGTTGGGCCGCTTGATCGGCTCAAGGCAGGATGTGTGGCGCACAGGCGGGGCCCTCGGGCGTCCGTCGGCGGCCGGTTCTGGCACGGCACTTCTTTCGCAGCCTGGGACGCTGCGCCGCTCAACGCAACCCGCCCCGCCCCGCGGCCCTGCGGCTGCGCGTCCCCGCCGCGCAGCCGCCCTCCATCGACGGCGACAAGCCCGCGTCGTGCGGCCTCGACTGCAAGGCCCCTGAGGCGCTGCAGAGCAAGGTGCTGGCCACTCAGGGAACGTTTGCCTACCAGAGCCTGAGCGACGAGTGGTCCATCTGTCAGCACATTCGTGACTACGGTGAGAGTTGACCTGAGGACAGCCGCGCGGCCCGGGAGCGGGAGGCGCGGGCGCAGGCGTGGCCGGGAGGCCGGCGTCGTTGACAGGGGGCCGCAGGGGGTGCGTGCCAAAGCGCCCCCGAGCAGCGTGCGCCGGGCCTCGGTTGGCGGTCGAGCGGGCACCTGCGCGTCGGCTATGCCTTGCGCCACCACAGGCCTGCGGGACGGCCCTTGCGCCCTGGCCCGGCAAACCCTCGCCGCCCGCGTTGGCAGCACCCCACCAATCAACCCCCGGCCACGCCTGCCGCCCGCGCCGCCGCCGCCGCCCAGGCGCTGTGGTGTCGCGGTTCGACATCATGTCAGACTTCAAGGCTTTCTTCAGCGACCCCTCCAAGGCAAACGCCATTTATCGTGCGAAGCCGGGCGCCACGCTGGCAGAGACGCACGTGAGCGGGGAGGATCCGGGGGCGTGAGGCCTTGGCATTGCCGGCCAGAAGCAGTGTAAAACGGTCCGCCGGGGTCGAGCGTCGCATGTCATGCCGGCTGCGGGGCGCCAAGGGGAGGGGAGGCCGGGGCCAACTGAAGGCGGCTGGCGGCGGCCTTGCGCGGCGCGCACAATCGCGAGGTGTCCTTGTAGCGATGGATTCGCCGCTGGTCGGGGCAAGCGCCTGGGCACCTTATCAGCTCATTCAAATGAATTGCACATTTCGAGATGAACAGCTAAACGATCTACTTGCTCACAGGCCGTCATCATCATTGGTTACAGCCTGACAGAGGGCTACTGGTGCGTGGACCACGTGTTGGTCGCTGCTTGCCATAATCCCCGCACTGGCAGCCGGTGCCGCTGGCGGGCGACGCGTTCGATGCATCACAACAGCGAGCGGCGCGGGACGGGGGCCCTGGGCGGCCGCGTGGCCGCGGCGGGTGCGGGCCGGCAGCCATGGGGCCTGCCAGCGCTAGGCACAGACCGCTTGCTGCATTACGCAGCCCGCTTCCCCCGTGCGGCTGCCATGCGGCCGCTGACAGCAAGCCACCGTCTGACCATAATACCTCTCTTCTCAACCGTAAATACCCTCCGGGCTCGCACCGCTGCCAGGCTGGTCCAGAATTCTTGGGGCCCGTCCTGGAATATCAACGGGCGCTTCAAGGTGCGCAGGCAGGCACCGATGCCGCCCCGCCGCCGGCCGCGGCGGCCGGGCACTGCGATGCAGCTGCGGATCAGGCAGCTGGGGCCGCCCCGCGTGCCTGCGGAGGGCGGCGCAGCGCAGTGCGCGGCCTGCGCGCGGCGGGCAGCTGCTGCCCCCGCTTGGTTTGGTGCTGTTCTCAGGCACCCCCCTGGCGACACTTGACGCCCTGAACGCCACCACCCGCCGCCGCCCCAGGTGGCGTTCAACCAGTGTTCCCTGGCCACGCCGCCCGACCTGTTTGGCATCACTTGGTCGCCCAACAAGGGATCACAGAAGGTGTGGCCGCCGCCGGGGCTGGTGCCCAACAAGACTTGCGTCGGCGGGTACACATACCTGGTGAGGCTGGGTTTTTGGGGAGGGGTTCAAGGCGCCGTGGGCAGGGCGCTTGGTGCGCGTTTCTCTGGCGGCGGAGGCACACACGCGCCCAGTGGGCGGCTGCGTCTTCAGTTGAGCGGCCCCGCGGCCGCGCGGCCCGCCAAGCAGGGAAGTTGCCTCCGCGTCAAAAACTCGGCAGGGCCCGTCCTCGTCTGGGCCCCGCAGAGGCCAATCGCCCCTCGTCATGACGTCATGACATCACATCCCCCCACACCCCACACCCCAGGCCCAGTCGTCGGACTACCTGTCAGGCATTGCGGAGCGCTACGACGTGAAGCTGCAGCGCCTGCTGCTCGATAACGTCGCCACCATCGGCGATCTTGACCACCCGCTGACCGGCAAGAGGCTGCTGCTCTGCGGGATACAGTCACGTGAGCGCGCCTCCGACCCGGGCCGGGGCAGCTGCTGGGTCGGCGCCGCTGGGCTTGATTGATTTCGAGGGCATTCCCGCGCCGCAGTCGGTTGGCGTGCAGTAATGTGGGTTTGATTTCAATTCGGAGCCCGCCATTGAATGAGGGGAACGGGGGCAACGACGCAAAACACAAGTGTTTCTGGCCCTATTGTCAAGTACACCCTTGTCCCGTCACCGCACACCCCCAAAATCAAACCCCGCAGCTTTGGAAAAGCTGTCCACGCGAGCCAAGGCCGCTGTCGCCGGCGGCACGTTTGGCGTCTCTTGGGGTGGGGCCTGGTTCTTGAGCATATACAACCTCGGGGTGCTGACGGCACTGCGCGACATGGGGCTCGTCACCAACACCACCAAGATGAGCGGCGTGGCGCAGGTCAGCACGACGGCCGTGCGGCGGCGCGCTGGGCCACCCCCGACGCCCGCCCTGAGCGCCGGCCACGCCTGCTGCCCAGCTTGCGCTCCCCCGGCTCCTCACATTCCTTTCGCTCCGCCCTGTCCCCCCCCCCCCGGCAGCTGACGATGTGCGCCATGTGCTCTGGCTATGACCCCGCGAGCTACCTCAAATATCTGGACACCATCCGCAGCGAATGCGACAAGCGCTCGCACTGCAGGCGAGCGCCCGCCCCGCGCCGCCCCGCCGATCGGC